ACATCTTTTATATTATTCTCTTAACTTTCTTCTTCATTTTCATGGAAGGGAGAATGAAACACTAACTCCAGGCACATGCAGCTGCTCTCAAAAACCAAGTACAGGAAGTTAAAGTCTCAGGGGTCTCAGAGGAAGGCCAAAAGCCAGGCTTTGAAGATGTTTCTTCCAGATGCAAACATCTGGAAGTCAATAAAGAGACTCTCTAAGCCAGCTTTTGAGTTGATGTCTTCAGTCACTAACCAGGGCCCTCTCATCTAAGCAATAGGTCATTTTCACTAATTTTTTTAGAATAAGCAGCCACTGCATGGAAGCAATCTTCTCATCTGAGTCCCAGACTATAGGCATTATCTCTGTTCTAGAAACACTGAGTTTATCAATTTCATTTTCCTAGTATATTCCTGAAAAACAGCCAAGTGTGCAACAACATCCCTTCAGCAGTCTGGATGCATATAAATCCATGATCACAGAAAGTAATCAACAGAGCTCATAAATCTCTGGAGAAAGAGATGCAGTGAATAGAATAGCTTCCTGGACACAACACATGTATCTCATGTCTGTTGCATTCCAACAATTACGCTGCCAGGAAAACAACAGCATAGCTATGCTGTTGTATGTCACTAGTCAATTTTGACTCTTAATGACTCTACATGTATCAGAGAGAAAGTTTACCCAAATCTGCAACCCTTATAATCTCGGCTGTACTTATGACCACTGTGGCAGGCACTATGTCAATCCATCTCATGAAGGGTCTTCCTATCCTTCTCTGACCCTCTTACAATCATAATGTCCTTCTCCAGAGACGAGTTGGTCCTGATATTCTCCAAGTATTTCTCCTCATCTTTGCCTCTAATGGGCATACTAGTTTACACCTCCTCCAAGCCAGACCTGTTTGTTCTTTTGGCAGTCCAAAGGACGGACGTTCAGTACTCTTCTCCAATACCGCAATTCAAAGACATGATTCCTCTTCCAACTTTTACCAACCTCCACATTCACAGGAAGCCAAATGAGAATACTGTGGCTTGGATGAGGCACACCCTCATCTTTAAAGTGACATGCATACTTTTTAGCACTTTATAAAGGTCCTTGAGAGCAGATCAATGCAATACATCCTTTCATTTCCTGACTGCTGCTTCTATGGTATTGGACTGTAGATCCAAGTAAAACGAAATCTTTCACAATTTCAATCTTTTCCTCGTTTAGCATGATGTTGTCCATTGATCCAATTGTTAGAATTTTGTTTTATGTTGAAGTATAATCCACACAGAAAGCAATTTCTAGTCTTTTATTTTCTGCGTTAAGTGCTTCAAAACCACTTTACTTTCAGCAAGTAAGGTCACATCATCTGAAAAATGGAGGTGTTGATGAGGTTTTTCTCCAATCCCTATTCCACATTCTTTTTCACGTAGTCTACCTTCTTAAATTATTTGCTCAGCATAGAAAGTGAACAGGTCTGGAGAAAGGATACAACCCTGACACATATTCCTTCTACATGAACTGCTCCCTGGTTCATATGCAAGTTCTACATGAGTAAAATTAAATGTTTCAGAATTCCCATTTTTCTCTATGTTGCCTGTATTTTGCTGTGATCAAGACAGCCAAATGCCTGTGCATAAGTCAAACAAAACAAACAAAAACCCACAAGTAAACATCCTTCTGGTATTCTGTGCTTTCAGTCAAGATTCACCTGACAGAAGCAATGATACTCATATTTTCTTTTAAATTTCTGGAAATTCCATTGGCAATGTACTGCTCTGGTCATTTCTGAATAATCTTTACTTGCATGAGAAACTGATGATACTGCCTGATAACTTCTGCTTTCTGTTGGATCACCTCTTATTGGAATGGGCACAAATATGGATCTCTCCCAGTCTCTTGGCCAGGTAGCTGTCTTCCACATTTCCTGGCACTAACTTGTGAACATTCTCAGGGCGGCATCTGTTTGCTGAAACACCTCAATTACTTTTCTGTCAATTACTAGAGTCTTGATTTTTTGCTAAAGTCTTCAATGCAGCTTGATGTCTCCCTGCACTGGCTCTTGATCATATGCTACTTCTTGAAATGCTTCAGTGTGGACAATTTTTTTTTGTACAATCATTGTGTACTCTTTCCATTTTCTTTTGATATTCCCTTCATCATTTGATATTATGCCTATAAAATCCTTTGTATAGCAACCCACATTTGATTGTTCTTCAGTTCTTTCTGTTAAAGAAATGTTTCAGAGTATCTTCTAACATCCACTTTGACCTTTTATTTCCTTCCCTTTCTTTTTAATGATCTTTTATTTTCTTCATGCATAATGTCTTTAATGTCATCCCACAACTCATTTGACCGCTGGTCATTAATATTCCAAGTACAGAATATATTCTTGAGATGATTTTTAAATTCAGGTGGAAAAAACTCAAGCTCATATTTTGGTTTGCATGGTTTGTTTCAATATTCTTCAGTTTCACTTGGAACTTGGCTATGAGCAATTAACAGTTTCTTCCACAGTCAGCCCCTAGTCATGTTCTGAATGCTGATACTGAGCTTTGTCCACTTTCTCTTTCTACAGATGTAGCAAATTTAGTTCCTGAATATTTCATCAAGGAAGGTCCATGTATACAGACAAGTTCTATGTTTTTTTAAAGTTATCCAAATTTAAAATCATTGCTGTTGTGTAATAATCTACTCACAGCTGACCCTCCACTGGGTTTCTAAGGCTATAAATCTCATGGGCGATCACCCACATTTCTCCTGCAGAGCAGCTGGTAGATCCAAACTACTGGAGAAGCAAGGCTTATGGGTTAGCAGTGCAACTTCTTATCAACTAAGCCACTGGAGCTTCCTTAAAAAGGTATTAAAAATTGGGGTGCTCTGGTGACCTAGTGGCAAGAAGCTGCACTGTAATCCCAGAGGCGTGCAGTTCGAATCCACCAGATGCTCTGCTGGAGAAGGAGGGGCAATCTCCTCCTATACCAGTCAGATCCGATTTGACGGTACACACACACACACACACACACACACACAAGGTATTAAAAATCAATGACTGAGGGAGCTCTGGTGGCCTAGTGGCAAGAAGCTGCACCACAATCCCAAAGGTGCGTGGTTCGAATACACAAGAGAAGGAGGGAAAATCTCCTCCTGTACCAGTCAGATCCAATTTGATGGTAAACACACACAAAAATAATAAATTTTTTTAAAAAATATCAATGATTGTACAATGATTCTATCACACATTCTCAAACCTCATTTCTTTTACCAAAGCCCAACCATTTCACCACTAACCTTTTTCATCTCCAAATTTTGCACTCCACCCATTAACTATTATTAATGCATATTGACTGTGCGCTAGATTAATTTCATACTGCAGAAGTTGGTAGAAATTTTCAATTTTTTTCTTTAGTGGTTGGCATGTGTATCTGAGTAATAGTTGTGTTCCTTAAACATATATGGCTATTATTATACTGTTGTTACCAGCACTGTACTTTAGTATAGTACAGATCCTGATATGTTCTTTGATAATTAATGCTGACATCACTCTCTTTCAATTTGTCATTCCCAGCATAATAGATCAAAATTGCCAAAACCAGTCCATTTCAGCTCATTAATGCCTGATAATCAATCTTTATGTGTCCATTTCACTTTTCTGACAACTTCTGATTTCCCTATTTTCATACTTTGTACATTCTATGTTCAAATTATTAATGGATGTGTGCTATTTCTCATCATCTTTGAGTTCTGTCACATCAGTAAATAAATGAAGGTCGCTCACTGCATGGAAGCCTTGGTCTATCTGCATCATTAAGGCACAGTGTAAGGAGGCAGCTCTTCCCCAGTTACATTTTGAGTGTCTTCCAATCTTCAGGGCTCATTTTCTAGCATATAGCATATAGTTTTCCACTGCTATTCACAGGGTCTTGAGGGCCCTTTATCTCAAAAGTGGATGAAAGCATGTACAAGTATATATAGCCTAAATAAACTAATTGTTATAGAGTCAGAACTGAACCTCCAGTGAGTTTTGTGGAGGCAATAAATGGCAAGGGAGAGGACGGCCCATCTCTCTCCGTTGGAGCCAGTGATGGATTTGAACTGTTAGAGGCACTGCCTTTGGATTAACTGTGCAACTGCCAAGGTACTAGGCCACCAGAGCTTCCAATAGCCTACAATCATCTTAATAAATGTCCATGTTACTGGCTTAAGTGTGTGCTGTTTTCTCTAGCTCCACAGTTTACTGTAGGAGTGCACTCAATGACTCCTGGGCAGCATCCTATGCCATGTAACATACAATTCTTGAGTATTTTAGTGTTCTATCTCTTATTCCAGAAATATTACCATAAAGCAAATCATGACTCCAAAACACAGCAAAACCCACACTAGTGATAGCAGCAGCAAAAGGCAAACGAGAAGTTTTTATTTGGAAATGAAACAAAAGGTTATCAAACAATTTCAAGGTGAGAAATTAATGAATGCTACTGCTTGTGGCTCAGGCATGCTGCACTCAACAGTCACAATGACTGTCAAAAACAATGAAAAAATTCTCCAAACTGTTAAAGGTTCTATTCCACTGAAAACTACAAGACTGTCCCCAACACCCCCCCCCCCGAAAAAAAAGCAAGAGGTGCCTATATCCAATATGGAGAAAGTGTTTATGACATAGACTAAGGATCAAACATGACAGGAAATCCCTCACAGCATGTTTACTAGAACTGCTAAGGCACAAACCCTACTCCCTTTATGCTTGAAAAAAATGCAAAGTCCAAATCCTATACCAATCTATTTCATAAAAGGTTTGGTAGCTGTTAAGGAACACATGGCTATTTGGATTCACTTAATGGGAAGTGAACAAACATCAACGACTGCAAAGGCCTCCCCCACTGCAAGACTCTAGAACAGTCCCTCTAGAGTTTCAAGATACCCTCAGAAGAGAACAAAAATAAATGCCAATTCCTCCAAGCTTTAGAAGGCAGTAAAAGGTGAAAATAAGTAATCACAAGACACTTTGAGTGGAAAGTTTCATTTACCGTCGTTTTCGAAGGATGTGAATCCAGATGGTCCCAGAAAGGAAGAAGAACAAGGCCATCGAAATGTACAATTTGGGAAGAGGAATTTCTCCTGCTGAGAGATAACTATCAGGATTCTTCTCTGTAATATCAATCTGAAATCAACATGAAATTAACCTTTACTTTTAAGCAGTGGATCATTCCTTCTTTAGGAATTTGGAATCTCCTCCACTTCATTTAGTAAGTACTTACCAGTAAACCACAAGCATGGTTTTTTAATACTCAGGTTAAAAAGCAAACACATTTAAAACTGCATTATAAAAAACACTCACAAATGAAAAATAAACAACCTAAATTAAAAAAAACAAAACAAAAAAAAACACTCACAAAACCCCTTCCTGCTGGAGAGTCAGTTCTGACACATTTCACCCTTCCCTTAGGTTTCCATGGCTATAAATAGCAAGGGGAGGAAACCACCCATCCTTTTCCCACAGAGCCCCCAGTGGCTTCTAACTACTGGAGACAAGTGACTTTGGGCTTAACAGCACTGCTTGGCAAGGACCAAGGCACCAAGTTCCCCAAGTACTTTATGTTGTTACGTGTCACAGCGATCCTATAAAACACAGATCTGAACCTTGTCCTATCCTGAACCATCCTCACCATCTCTGACGTGCTAAAACCCACTCTTACAGTCTTTATGTCAATCTATCTCATTGAAGGTCTTCCTCTCTTTCTCGGACTCTCCCTTTTACCCACTCTGGCCACATGGATCTCTTACTCTGCTTAAATGCTCATAAAAATCTATGCTTAAATAGAAGTAAATACATCTTGTATGTTCCACTGCTGACAAAAATCCTCAGACCACCCAACATGAACAACACATGATACTCACATCAAGGCTGAATGAAACTTTGTCACTAGAATGCATTTCACTTCCCAGGCATTTATGGAAGTAGAGACTGTAGAGGCCTTCTTGGTCATTAGTGCTGATATTAAAAAAAAACTGAAAGTGACAAAGGAAAAATAATAAATAATAAAAATGCAAGCTACATTTTACACACACACATATAAATACATACATTAAAAACTCACTGCTGTTGTACTGGAACCAACTCATAGCTAACCTAACAGTGGATTTTAGGAGATTGTACACTACATAGGAGGAGAATCTCTTTCTTTCTCCCAAAGAACCACTGATGGATTTGAACCATCAGAAAGTTAGGGTTAGTCACATAACTCCCTGTGGACTACATCTCCCCTTTCTCTGTGCATGTGAGTATATATATATATATATAGAGAGAGAGAGAGAGAGAGAGAGAGAGAGAGAGAGAGAGAGCGCGCGAGAGAGAGCGCGCGCGCACGCAATGTGTTTATGTATATATGTATACATATAGATACACACACACACACACACACACACACACAGAAAAATGCACACGTACATAGTTTTAAAAGCAGGGTTTAGGGCTGTTGTACATAGGGTCACTATGAGTCTCTGGCGCCTCAACAGCACATAACAATACAAAATAGTTTAATATAAATCAAGACACAAACATACAATCTCTCACTCAAAGAGCATGATACTTTGGTCAACTTTACTAATGTTTTATTCTAAGCAGTGAAAGCCTGCAAAAGCCCAAACAATAAATATTCTAATAGGGCTACACAAACAGTATTTTGATAAAATACTCATATTATGAGTTCTCTCTAGAGTTGGGAAGGGATACGAGGAACACATTGAGGTTTTGAGGGTTAGCACTGTACTATTTCATGTCCAAGGTGATGGTTTCAAAGTTGAGTATTTATAGTTTAGCTCACAACGGGTACTCTCCATTTCTCTGTCACACTATATAAAAGCAAGCTACAACATCTCACAAGGTAGAAAAGATCAAGAACGTTAAAGCTGTAATTATGAATCATGTCCCAAACTCATTATTGTAAACATTTTTGTCTGTTCAGGGTAGCAGGAAAAAAAACTTTTCTAAAAAAGATTATTGTTAAGTACTGTCAATTTGACTACCACTCATAGTAACCCTATGTCCAACAGCCCTGAATCCAGTCCTATCCTGAGCCAGTCTCACTACTATCTCTGGCATGCCTGAACCCATTACCCCAGTTACTATGTTAATCCATCTCATCCAAAGTCTTCCTCTCCTGTACTGACCCTCCATCCTGCTAAGCATGATGTCTGTCTCCAAGTACTGGTCCCTCCTGGCAATATGTCCAAAGTATGTGAGCCGGAGCTTCAAAATCGTTGCCTCCAAAGAGCAACTTGGTTTCACTCTTTCCAGGAAGACTTACATGAAATTCTTAAGAAAGGGGTGGGGCGTGGGGGAATCCAATAGAATCACCATGGTTGATCATCAAAGTAAGCCTCACCAGACCCTTATAAAAATGTTATTGTTGTTGTTAGGTGCCATTAAGTTGAGTACGACTCATAGCGACCCTATGAACAAATGATTTTAAACCAGTCCTGTCCTGCGCCATCCTCACTCTGATACACAAGAGCTCACTGCAGCAGCCACCTTGTCAATCCACCTGGTTGAGGGTCTTCCTCTCCTTTGCCAACCCTTCACCCTTCCCAACATCATGTCCTCCTCCAAGGAATAGCACCTCCTAGCACTATGTCCAAGGTATGTGAGGCGAAGTATCATCATTCTTGCCTCCAAAAGCACTCTGGCTGCACCCTAAGACATATCTATTCTTTTTCTTGGCCGTCCGTGGAATGTTCATTGCTTTTCTCCAACACCACAGCTCAAAGGCATCAATTCTTCTTCTGTCATCCTGATCCACTGTCCAGGTCTCAGATGCACAGCTAGTAACTGGAAAGACTATAGCCTGAATCAGATGCACGTTAGTCCTCAAACTGACATTACTTCTCAATAATTTGGAAAAGTCCCTAACTGCAGATTTTCCCACTACAATGCGTCTTATTTCCTGACTGCTCATACAAGGGTGTTAATTGTGGATTCAAGCAAAATAAAGCAGTTGACAGTTTCAATCTCCTCTCCATCCATCATGACACTGCCTATTGGACCAGTGGCAAGAAACTTTGTTTTCTTGATACTGAGACGCAATCCATACTGAAGACTACATTCTTTCATCTTCTGCAACAAGTGCTTCAAATCCTCACTTTCAGCAAGTAAAGTTGTGTCATCTGCACAACACAGATTATGGATGAGTCTCCCTCCAATTCTGTTGCCACATTCCTCTTCATATAGTCCAGCTTCTTCAACAATTTGCTCAGCATACAGACTGAACAGATATGGATATAGAATATATCCCTGACATACTCCCTTCCCACTTCCAAACCATGCAGTACTCCCGTTCCGTTTGCACAACAGCCTCTTGGCTCCAGGTATAGGTTCTTCATGAGCACAATTAAGTGCTCTGGGATTCCCATTCTTCTCAATGTCAGCCACAATTTGTCATGATCCACACAGTCAAATGCATTCGCATAGTCAATAAAGCACAAACAGACATTTTTCTGGTATTCCTTACTTTCAGCCAGGATCCATCTGATATCAACAACGATATTCCTGGTGGCACTGTCTCTTCTAAATCTCACTTGACCTTCTCCTAATTCTCTACCTATATACTGTTCTAGTCGTTTTTTAAATGATCCTCAGCAGTTTTTTCTAGCATGTGATATCAATGATATTGTCTGATAATTTCCATATTTAGTTGAATCATCCTTCTTGGGAATAGGAACAAATATGGACCTCTTCCAATCCATTGGCCAGACAATGACCCTCCAAATTTCCTAGCATAGTCTGGTCGTTGTATTCAAGACTGCATTTGTTAACTGAAACAAGTCAATTGGTATCATTATCAATTCCTGGGGCCGTATTTTTTACCAATGCCTTCAATGTAGCTTCCACTTCCTCTTTCATTATCATTGGCTCCTGTTCATATGGTACCTTCTGAAATTTTTCTGTGTCAATCAATTCTTTCTGGTATAGTGACTTTGTGTATTCCCTCCATCTTCCTTTGATGCTTTCTGGGTCATTAAATACACTGCCGACAGCATCTTTCAACTTTGCGACACGAGGCTGACATTTATTTTTTAGCTCTTTCAGCCTGAGAAATGCAGAGTGAGATCTTCCCTTTTTATTCTACAATTCCAGCTCTCTGCACATTCCATTATAATATTTTGCTTTGTCTTCCCAAGCTGCCTTATGAAACTGTTCAGCTCGTTCATTTCGACATGTTTTCCTTTAGATTTGGCTTTTTGATGTTCCAATGTAAATAAAAAAAATCATAAATCTTAGATTTTTTTTAAATTTTTTTTTAAATTTTATTATTTTTGTGTGCGTGTACCGTCAAATCAGATCTGACTGGTACAGGAGGAGGTTGTCCCTCCTTCCCTGGCAGAGCATCTGGTGGATTTGAACCTTTCGCCTCCGGGATTGTAGTTGCAGCTCCTTGCCACTAGGCTACCAGAGCTCCCCATAAATCTTAGATTTTAAATAAGTCTTCACAGTCCCCTGGTGTCTGCCATCAGGAAAACCATCCACAACATGAAGCAGTGCAGCGCAGGCTGAGCGTGCTGTCTAAAACCGGAACAATACAGGCTCACCTACTGACTTCTTTACACAGAGCAAAGCCAGAGGAAAAAGAAACTGCCTCCTCACTGCCCATTTTAGGCCTTACAAGATCATGAAGAGCTGGTTACATCAGCCAATATTCTTAACTATATGGCTTTCCCATCAATACTCACGCTGATACAAATAATTAGTAAAACTAACATACAGACTTTCTTTATGTGATTAAAAGAAAAAAAGGCAGGGCAGGCTTACTTTTGTGTTTTTGTTTTTTCTTTAATTAATTTTTATTTATTTATTTTTAAGTTTTTATTCCTTTTTTGTGTGTGCGTACCGTCAAATAGGATCTGACAGGTATAAGAGGAGAATGCCCATCCTTCTCCAGCAGAGCATGTGGGGGATTCGACCCAAATACCTCTGGGATTGCAGTGCAGCTTCTTGCCACTAGACAACCAGAGCTCCCTTTTACTATTCTTTTGTGAATAAAAGAAAAAAAAGGGAGGACAGGCTTAACATCTTGATAAACCTACTTTACCAATAAGCATTTTAAAGTTGTAAGAAAAAGAGAGAGTATCTTCTGTATTAAAGGTAGGTAATTGAGGCTCAATGTCAAGAAGACAAAGATTCTCACCAGTGGACCAATTGGCAGCATCAGGAAGGATGATGAAGAGATTGAGATTGTACACAGCTTTAGTTTGCTTGGCTCCAGAGTCAACAGTCTTGGCACCAGTAGCCAGGAAATTAAAAGGCACATTGCCATGGGAAAGTCTGCTGTTAGGGACCTCTCTCCAAAGTGCTGAAGAGCAATGGTGTCTCTCTAGAGACTAAGGTGCGTTTGATACAGGCCATGGTCTTCACAATCACTTGTTATGGATCAGAGAGTTGGACAATGACCAAGGAGGATAGAAGGAGAATTGATGCCTTTGAGCTGTGGTGCTGGAGAAGAGTATTGAGAATACCATGGACTGCCAGGAAAACAAACAGATTGGTCCTGGAAAGGGTTAAACCAGGTGGCTCCTTGGACGCAAGGATTCTGAGGCTCCGTCTAACATACTTTGGACATGTTGTGAGGAGAGACCGGTCCTTGGAGAAGGACATCATGCTTGGGAGGGGGGAGGGACAGCGCAGGAGGGGAAGGCCCTCTTTGAGGTGGACTGATTCAGTGACTGGATAATCGGGGAGTGTCAGAGAGAGTGCGATTGGCACAGGACAGAGTTTAGGGCTGTTGTACATAGGGTCGCTATGAGTCGCAAGCGACTCGACGGCACATAACAACAACAATAAAATAAAAAGATAAGGTAAAAAAGGAGGTAATAAAGCACACCAGTTAAACCCTGAAGTCAAACTTGGGATGGGAATCCTTCCCTTAAGACAGTAGTGCTCTGGTGATTTAGCGGATAGGGAGTTGTTATGCTATGTACTGCTGACCCAAAAGTGGCACCTCTCTGGTGGCTCGAATCCACCAGCAGCAGCATGGAATAAATTCCTCCCAGGCAATTTTCAGTCTCTCAAAATCATCTATGTGTTCAGACATGATGGCAACAGTGTCTACTTCACAGAGTTGTTGGCAAGATGAACTAACTGGTCTAAGCATGTAAGTACTTCATGCAATGTCTGACAAGTATTCATCCATCTCCATAGTTACTGACTTAGGGACTACTATGGGCCAGACTCAAGTTGCACTGGTTTGTTCAGATACTTTAGTAATAAAGATAAAAACCCCTGCCCTCATAATTATAATTTAGAGAAGAGAGAACTTCCTATTGGAAGTTCATTCTATTGTACATGGCAGGGATAGATGCTTTAAGGGATAGGGGTAGGGAGAGTGGGGCTGCATTTAAAATATGAGGATCATGGGAAGCTTCAGCGAGAAATGACAGTCTTCAAGAAGTAGAAGGCCAGTCTTTTGAGGAACAGCAAAGTGGTGGTGTGACTAAAGAGAAGTGAGCAGAGGACCTGAATATCGCAGGCCACTGGAAAAACTTGACCTTTTACTCTGAGACAGAGTGGAAGTTACTAAAGGACTTTTAGCAGATAAGCAAGTCACAAGCACTCAATGGAGATGAGTGTGATGGCTCATAAACAACACAAAAATTACTAGACACAAAGAACAACCTACAGTTAAAACAACCAGAAATATAAACAGGGGGCGGGGGGGAGAACCTACAGTTAAAAGAAAACAAAAACAGCCCAACAAAAAACCCCCACCAAACTGTAGTTGCAGAGATGGGGAGTTTCTGAAGTGATGAAACTGTTCTTTCTTGATAGAGTGGGTTACATGGGGGCATGAATTTGTCAAAATTTACTGAACCATATACTTAAATTATACCTTAGTTAATAAAAAATGATTAGAAAATAACTTGATATTAAAACATCTACACAGAGTATTACAAAGCAAAAAGAATAATTTTAACAATCTTGTAGGATAGGTGTCATGACTTTATTTTTTTTCAATTTTAGCTAATTAAACAATTATAAAGTTAAGTGAGCTGTCCAAGGTCACATAGCTAGTAGATGGATTCTGAGCACCTGCCCAATGTCTGATTTCCCTACATATCCTAAGAAGCAGTCATAAAGCTCTTACCAGATAACAGACAGCTATGAATATTGAGCAAGTCACTAAAGGAGTAAATGAACTTATTTCTAGCACTATAACTTTGCCCAAACTGACTGTTAGTGGTCCTTTCAGGTACAGAATGTCATTCTTCTACCTGTAGTGGGACACTCTGAGATGCAGCAGCATTATTAAGAGAGGCAGATGAGTTTCATGAACAGCCAGGATGAAATGGTCTGCAACTGGGCACTTTCACTGGATAATCATGAAGCTATTCTATTCTCTCAGGGACTTATGATTTGATACTGAAGGGACTAATATCCACCTGGGAGGACTGTGAAGGCGATTGGTCTATGTATCAGATTCCTGACAAGCAGTACACCTCAACCAGCATCCATAAATTAAAAATTTATTACAACATTCACCCATCTACATGGTAGAGAGAAATGCTATCAAGTTTTAAAAAGAGAATACATACCTGAAATGAAACTGCCCCATCATTATTATGTACAGAAAAGGATTTTTCTCCCATTGCCTAAAAAAAAAAAAATGTAACTTCTTTTAGAACAATATTGGCAGATAAGGTATGCTACTTAAAATAAAAATAAAATTTAAAACCTCACTTTCTTACTGTACCCTGTATTTGCTGACCTTGAGAACTCATTTCCCTGCTCAAGATGTCTGAAATCCATTTTCACACAGGAAGCTTATTCTGCTTCCACTTATTTCCTTTCCGAAGCAGTCTTCTGCCCTTTTCGTTCTATTCTCCTTGAGTGCTAGTCAATCTGAAAGCTTCAGTAGCTAGTATTAGTAAACTAAGGAGGTCAAGCCAGATCACACTCCAAAGCATTCATTACGTGAATTCTGTCCCTAATGTGACCCAAAAAAATGGAATAGTACTGAGAAATATACAATGGAGTTGTACACTAAAAAAATAAAGATAAAAGAACTTCTGATACACACAATATGGAAAAATCTCAGAATTATGCTGAAAACAGTAAAAAAGAGTACGTACACACTTACATGAAACTCTAGGACATGCATACTAATCTAGTGTGACAGGTGAGTGGCTCTTTGAGGATGGAGGGATTACATAGAGGCAGAAGAAACTTGGGAAGGATAAAGCAGAGTCACTATATCAACTGCAGGGATGATTTCTTATGTTCAGGAAGTCTCAGATTTACAGTGTATTCAATCACAACTAATCATACTTATGACCACTAGGAGTTTTATTTTGTACATTTTCTAGTTAATAATACATATTACAAGTAATAACACAGCATGTGCATACATGTTTCCAATTCTCAAAAATAAAGAGTAGGTTTACAAAGATACTAGTAAAAGAAGACCAAAAAATAGGGAGATCAAAAAACAGTAATCATAAAACACATTAATAACAATGTACTTAAAAACCAAATTAACATCTATCAAATTGTGCACTTTGAATACGTTTTGTTGTTTATAAAACATGGTTACTTGGATGTCTCTTCAGTGAAAAATCAAAATACTCCAAGCTTTTTCAAACAAATCCACCAGACCCCAAGGTCACCTCTGGTGGCATCTCCTTTTAGAGTGCTCTGAAGAAGTTCGCTCAACTTCCCTCTCCCTTTACTATTTAACCATTTATCACATAACTACTGCACAAGTAGCACTCAAGTTTACTTTTCAATTATTCCCATGTGTCACTCTTATTTCCCCCAAATGAAGGCAAACCTCTGTAGACCAGGCATGCACATATATGTATATGCCTGCACAAGTGTGCAGGTTAATACATAAACACACGCACACACCCCACCCAGTAAAGCTAAAGTAGGTAGTTAATATGTACCTTTGAATTCACTGTGCTTCTTTTAGACTTTCCATTGTCTAGAAACAGACATATTTAAAATATATTAACTTCCTGATTCAGCTTATACACAGATCACAATAACATTTTATAAGTCGTCAGCTTGTCTAATATCAAGTAATTAAAACTAACAAATACAAACGGTGAGGCTATAAGCTAGCGTATGGACTATCATCTCCTCAGAGCCTGAAGTTGAATTCTTGAGTAGCAGCAGTTAAATCAGAACTTATAAATAATAAAATTCACTGCTATCAAGTTGATTCTGACTCACAGACTCTTCACTAGGTTTCAGGGTCTGCAAATATTCACAAAACTGCCTGTATTTCTTGTGTAGCAGCTGGTAAGCTGAAAGCACTGAACTCATAATTTCTTTGAAAGTACTTGAAATTGTTATATGGGCACCACTATTTCCAATGGCAGCATAAATTAACAAAAGCCATTTAGAAAGTTATTTGAATGTATATGTCAAGATTCTCAAAGTTACTACCTTAGACCCTTCAAATCAGAAAGTACAATTTTTGGAACTCACCTAAAAAACAAGAAATTGTTACACATACTAAAAAAAGATCTATGTATAAACAAGTTTAATGCTGCAATAATTAAAACAGAATAAAAATTAAATTTATATATCCATTTAATGGGTTATTACATGGGTGTGAAATATGTTAAGGTGAAGTGAACAAGAGGGCTATATTTAAAACTATAAACATGACTATGAACTTTTAAAAACCAAATGCTCTACACTTCAGACATGAGACTGGAAGGAAACATAAACTATCAAAATTTAACACCATGGCTATGGAGAAACAAGTAACTGCTCTTTTTCTTTGTTTCTGTATTTTTCACATTATTTTTCAGTGATGTTATTTATATACATATACATACATACATACATACATACATATCTCTCCAAAATAAAATAATGCTTTATTTTAAGCACTGGCTTTACTACATTTTTACTTAGTAACAAAAAAAAACTACTCTAAAAAGTAGAGTAATGATAATAAAATGATCATGTCAACATTCCAATTTACCTTGTTTTTCCTGAGTCTGGTTGCCAGCTGATACAGGGTTATCACCAGACTCCTGGCTCTGACCTAGGACCTTCTCAGCCTTGTTGAAAATGATCTTTGGTAACTGGGTTCCAGCTTCTGGTGGAGACTTTATTTTTACTCTATAGTGAAATAAAACAGAAAAAATCCTTTGAGCATTGCTTACGGACATTTATAAACTGTTGTGTGTGTAAGGTGTCAAGCTCTAAATGTATGTATGTATGTGTGTGTGTGTGTGTGT